CAGTTTTCAAAGGATGTGGTTTTCACACCTTGGTATCTATAAACTATAAAAAGTTGATATGTATTTGAAACATATTTGGTTTATTTTACTCTATTATCTGTCTCTGTCTATTTTATTACCTTCAGCTGAAATATAATAAAAATAACACTAGATTTTTAGTCTAAGTCTTTAACCTGGATCTGGTCTTAGCTGTCACTTAGGAGTTTGTGTGACTTTTGACAAGTCCCTGGCTTTTCTCAACTGTAAAATGGGCTGAACAATACTCTCCTCCCAGTCACTTTTATAGCAGCTCTGGGCTTCTTTGTGTTAAATATTTTGTTCAAAAAACATATCAGGAGAAGGCCTTGAAAGTGTCTTCTTTCCCAGCAGGACAGTGGCTGGGGTGTGGAGTAGGCAAGGCAGGAGAAGGAGGCTAAGGTGGGAGGATTGAGCCTAGGGGTTCAAGACCAGCCTGGGCAATGAAGCAAGACCCTGTCTCTCCAAAAATAAAAATAAAAAAGAATCCCCTTTCTGGGGCAGTGGGTGAGGGTACTATTGGTGAGCAGGTCTTGAAAGTATTCCCTTTCCCAGCAGACAGTGGCATGTGGGTGGGGTGGGGCAAGACAGGAGAAGGTAGTATGTATAAGAATACAGAACTACCAGTGTTATACTATTTCCAGTCTTACTTAATACAGTAAGTAGATCTGGAAGTATGATACCTTAGTAGATATTATGTATTCCTTTTTAACCAGGTTTTTTCCCAGTAATATGCCTTCAGTTGGTGTTGTCACTGTATTTAATCTGACATTCTAAACAGTGGTATTCTAGAGTATGTGCGGGAAACTCACTTGCCTACAGAAGGGAGCGGCCCAAATCCTGTGATTAAGCAAAGGAAAGAGGAAGGACATGAGCTTCTTTCTGAAGAGTGTTGTTTATGAATCTCCTCATGATGTTTTTACTTTTTCCATGAAAAACTATGTCCTTTTGTCTTCTGCCACTGGCCCTGGTTATGGACTGGGCGTTGATGTGAATACAGTTTCCAAATTGGAAATTAATGAGGTGTTCCATCCAGAGAGGCCTGCCTTCCATACTGTGAGGCTAGTTGTTCCCAGGACCCCCTCCATTTGGATCTTTGCTTTCTTGCTGCCTCTCTCTGGGTCAGGCAGCAACAGGCATCCTGTCTTTTCTGCTGGCCTTCCCCAGAAGATGGTTTCAGGCCCTGTCTTCCTGACCTAAGAATTTTTTTTTTAGTACATCTATCAGGTGTGACTCCCAGAAGTACTGGATTGTATTAAGGCAGGGTAGGTTCTGCTGTCTCTGGGCAGGAAGTTCCTGATGGCTCTTCAAGCTTCCACCTTAGCCCTTTGTGTACTTAAAAGGTTAGGATAGATTTTCTGGGGTGCAGGCATTAAGGGGATGTGGCTGCAGTGAGGTGAAAGAGCTATAGGACACTGACCATTAGCACTGTAGTCTCAGTTTTGTGCTCATGTGTGCTGTTATGAAGGGATCTTGACTGATAAGGAATTGAAGGAGGTAGGGTATTTTGTTTTTGTTTTTGAAGTGGCTTAAATAAACAGTGTGGGCTGTGAGCAAACTTTGTTGAGGAATGTTAAGCTGCTAATTCAGGCAAATTACAGGTAATCAATTTTAAGAACATCTCAAGATTACAGGTGGACCCTAGTCAGGACTCAGCAATCAGAAGGTTAAGAGGGAGCAACAAAGATGTGTCTAGAGCCAAGATACATGGGCTTGGGGGTAGAAGTGTGTCTGAGAGTCTTGTGGACCTTGCTGTTAAGTTTTGTGCATAAATATTTCAAGGGGAGGGCCCGGAGCCTTTATTTGATTTTTAAAGTCGTTCTTGATCTACTGGTTTATGTGAAAAGAGATGCCCGTTCAAAATGTGGTGGTTACCCTGTGCTGGAACATCCTCTAGGGAAAGGGAGGCTGCACATCCTGTGACCTGAATGCTGGAGGGAACTGCCAGACTACATGTGAAGTGTGTGGAAGATAGGACTGGAATAGAATAGAAACTGAAGTTCCCTGAGCATGCTGAAGGCAGCCTGTTCAGCACAATGTGAACACACACAGGAGGAGGAGTGACTGGGTTTGGAATGAAATGGAGAAAAGGAAACAAGCTAAATCACCAGGGGAAAACTTTGAGACCACAAGAATGAATAGGTCATGGCCCTGTCATTCTAGAGGAGACTGGAGCAGCTCTTCAGGAAATGTGGATGTGCTAGGAGGACAAGCCTGGGCTGAGCCTGAAAGGGCTCTTCTGGAGACCTGCTCATGGCACTCCCCACTGGGACTGTTGGCCAGTACCTGGAATTGGTCCAACAGTGGCCCTTGCCTGCAGCACACACAGATGCCTTTTGAGAGCCAAATTCAGGATCCGCTCGCCATGGTGAAAGACTCGTGAGCGCGTTAATTGAATCCCTTACATTTTTGGATAGTGGTAGTTCTTGGAATAATCTGAAAAGTATACTTTCAGGTTTTTTAAAAGAAAAATTTAAGTCTACTATTACTGATTCAAGACTCTTTATAATGTTGTTTGTACTGAATTTCTTTTTTAAGTGAGCAGTTGCCATTATTCTCCTGTTCCCCATGACTACCTTATTTTTTTTTTTAAGAGTACTGATTCTTCCTTTGAAGGAGGTTGAGGGTACTGAAGCAGTCTCTCTAGCCTTCCAGGGTAGAGGCTGTGTTTTCTGAAGGCTTTGTGGCATGAGAAGCTCCTAAGCTGGGCTTAGGCCTTCCCCATGGGGAGTGCCTGCGAACCCTTCAGTTAGCCTTTTTCAGAAAACATTGTCTCATAGGCTGTGAACAGAAAAGTTTGGTGGGTGATGAGCAAGGCAAGGGGTATGTTTGGAACCCCAGTCTGAAAGATTCTACCACTGAGTGATGCTTTCTCCCTTTTCTTGCTCAGAAATCAAACTTCCCATAATATTTATCTCAGAGCGTTTCCACTTTCCTCAGGCCAAGGAACCCACCCAGGCTCCCTCATCCTTTGCCTAATTCTTGACTGTATAGATTGGGGCTCTCTGATATGAGTGTTCTCAACTTTCCTCTTCCTCCTTTCAAAGTTCTCTCCTCTTTCCTTCCTGCCTCCCCTCCAGGCCACTCCTCCACTCACCTGGGTAGATGATGCTTCTCCTCTCACCTGGGTGGTGGTCTCCACTTGGCCCCAGATCCTTTTGTTCTCTCTCCAGTCTTCCTTTGGTGCTGGCTTCTCTTTTTCACCCTATGTACATCACACAGTGCTCTCACTGATTGCATTGCCTCCACTGCCAGCCCTCACCTATCCTTAACTCAGCATTTCCCAGGCTTTTTTGCTTGTGACATACACAGAAAATGATACTATTTGAGTGCATGTGGGGCTTGTGCACAAGGCTGATGGGAGACAGAAACTCTGGCTGCCTTGAGAGTGAGAGAAACCCTTATCACAGCATCTCTGGAATCCATCTGCATCATGTGCCTTATACCTTTGCAATTTGATTCTGCCCCCTGCTCTGTATTTCCCCCCTAAAACAGCCTTCCTAAAGAACGAGGAAGCAAATGCTAAATGCAAGGACTTTGACTTTGTTTTCTCCTCAATTGACATCCAAGTGGCATTGGACATCCACTCATAGTTAAGAGTTCAGTCTCCGGCTGGACTGCCTGCATTCAGTTCCTGTCTTGCCAGTCTCTAGCAGTATGACCTTGGACAGATTTGTTAATTTCTATGTGACTTAGTTTCCTCATCTGAAGAATGAGGATAGTACAATTTCTACCTTATTGGATTGTTGTGAGAATTAAATAGTTGCTATAGGAGAGTGTCTGATAGTAAGTGTTATCTAAGGGTCTGTTGCTGCCTTTGGGTCTCCTTTCTTAAGCTATTTTCTCCTGCTTTCTTTAACATTGAACACTCCTGGTCTTTATGCTATCTTTCTGAACTCTCATCTTTCCTTTTGTTTTCATTCTCTGGCTCCTCTTTTTGTCTCCTAAAGTGGAGGAGGTGTTAGACCATGCAGCATTGATCCTGTCACTTGTTTGTCCTTTCTTGGACTCCTCTGGTGGATGCCAGTGCTCCACTTCCAGACCAATGATGGTTCCGGGCCCACACCCCCAAATGCCTGCCAGATAGCCTCATCTCCATCTCTCCCTGTACCTCAGACTCAGGAGTCCCAAAAATATTTTAATGTTTGTTTTGCTTTTGTTTAAAAAGTAATAAATGCTTATAATATAAAGTACAGAAAAAGTAAAAGAATAAAATACAACCAAACAGTAATTCCACCATTCAGCTGGCACCACCACTAAACTTGGGTGTATCTCTTTCGAGCCCAGTGGTTCTCAACCTGGGCCATTTTTCCTTCAGGGAATATGTGGCAATGTCTGGAGACATTTTTGGTTGTCAACTCAGGGCATTGGGGAACATGCTACTGGCATCTAGCAGGTAGAGGCCAGAGATGCCGCTAAATGTTTTATAATACACAGTGCAGCCCCCTACAACAAGGAATTATTCAGCCCAGCAGTGCTGAGGTTGAGAAACCCATTCTAGACTTCTGTTTCTTTATATGTGCCCAAAGAGAACAGTTAGAATTAGTTCTATCGTTCTACCCCATCTTGCTTCTCCACTGTGTTTCCTATTTCTGACACTAGCCCTGCCTTCTCCCTTTCCCTTACCTTATATCTGAGCCATTACTGAGCCCACAGAATCCCCATCTGTCACTATCCCTTCTTCTTTCCCCAGTGATGACCACTTACTTAAACTAATGAAAAAGTCTCCAACAGGCCATGCCTGTGTCTCTGATATGCTTAGGGACTGGGCCATCTGTAGACTTCCACTGTTTTAATTAATTTCATGTCTGGTAAAGTCTAAGCTCCCTGAGAGCAACCTATTTCAAACCTGACACCATTCTGAGCACAAAGTCAGTACTCAATAAATCTTTGTTGAATGTGTATGAATGAATGGTGGTTGAGTGAAAAAAAAACCTGAAAAAGGTTGTCCTCATGATTCCTTCACAACCTGTCTGCCTTTGCAGATCCTCACTGAGTGGTTTGGACGGACCATCATCTGTTCCTGCACCAAACTGAGCTACGAGCATGCACAGAACATGATTGAAAGCCCAACTGAGAAAATCCCTGAGAAGGAGCTCCCCCCTATTTCACCAGAGCACAGCAGCAAGGAGGTACACCAGGCTGTCTTGAATCTCCATGGAATTGCCAAGCAGTTACGTCAACAGCGCTTTGCAGATGGCGCACTTCGTTTGGATCAGGTCAGTACTATTTTTTCAGTACAACCAACAGCTTTCATTCATGCCTGAACTCAGTATGAGTGAGAGGCAGCATGGCAGTCTTGAGCCCTTCCTGCCTTTTTCTTGCCTTACTCACTCTGCCAAAATAGTGTTCTCTGAGGCTGGCACCATATGAAGCCTAATGATGTGAGCCAAGGCAGAAAGTGGGTGACTCTGTGACCAAAACCCCCAGTGGGTCTTCTCTGGTAAGGTTATGTCTAATACATAACCTGAAGCCTCACTTCAGGTTTCTACCTCAAGTTCATTTTAATGGTGGCAGGAATAGGAGACATGGAAATTTAGGAGGCAGCTGACCAGTATTGATTCTGAGGCTTAACAAAATTATTTCTTATTATCCCTCATCTTTCGAAAAGAGCTATTTGTTTACAAATTCCAAATTAATATCTGAAGAAGCAGAGAACTGAGGAGACTGTAGAACATGGCTATTAAAGAATACATTGGCCTGGAATGGTATCGATGACTCAAATATTACAGCCATGCTGGCGATCCTCTGGGACTTAGGCTGCTGTCACTTAAACCTGATTTAATTTCCATGTCTGAGAGTAGGTAACTGTTAGGATCCAGGATTTTTTTTCCATTGTTTGTTAGTACATTACAGAGTGGAGCCTGTGTTTTGTATCATGGATTTTTTTCCTCTTTGTAAATCTATCTATCTATCTATCTATCTATCTATCTATCTATCTATCTATCTATCCATCCATCCATTCATCCATCAAGACAGAGTCTTGCTATGTTGCCCAGACTGGTCTTGAACATCTGGGGTCAAGTGATCCTCCTGCCTCAGCCTCTCAGAATGCTGGGATTACAGGTGTGAGCCACAACACCCAGCCCTTTTCATTTATATTTCTTACCCAAACTCTTCTTCTCTGGTTGTTGTGTGCTGTAGGAAGTTTCCATGTGTCTGAAAAATGAGCAGGCAACAGCATAGTTGCTGAGAGTGGCTGACAGTGCTGTTCATCAGACAATTGGCGCTGCTCACTTCATGTAGACTTCTTTCTCTGAGCCTGTCATCTAGGAGAGATCCTGAAGACCTTGTTTTAAAGCCTCCTAAATGGTCCTGATTTCAATAAACTTATACAAATGCTTCTTAGCAGGCATTGCAAATAGCTGCTGCCCTTAGCCTAGAAATAAATTAACTGCTCTCAGGACCAGTGGATGATCTGTCCCACCTGTGCTTGGCAGAGTTAGGGTAGCTTCTGGAACTCCTCCCCTCCACCTTCCCTGGCCTGGGCTCAGGCAGCAGGAGCAGTCCTCTCTGTGTGGGAATGTTGATGGGGAGGCAGTAATCAGAGTGGATGCTGAAGAAGACAACAGTGGTGGTGGAAGAGGAGCTAAAGGCATAGGGGATTCCAGAATATCTCCTTTCCTTCCTTCAAGGAAATCATTCTTGAGGGTGTGAACATAATGTACTGATTCTCACTCACCAGTAGCTGCCTAATTATTACGACCAAGGACCAAGGGCACTTGCTTCCTAGACTTCTGTCCTTCACTGAATCTTTTGAAACCTACCTCCTGGTTCTGTTTCTCTTTGAATATCTGCTGGCCCTCTTTGCAGATGCCTCTTCTGTCTACCTCTTCAGGGCTGGCATTCATGGGGCTCTAACCCACCTTCCTTCTTTCTCTATCCACATTACCACCCTGAGTAAACTCCTCTACTCTTGTGATTTTAACTACTAACTAGATGCTAATGAGCCCAAATCTGTCTCTCTAGCACTTACTTCTCTCCTCCAGCTCTAGTCCAGCCCCATGGTCATCTCGGCCAGTGTTTATCCTGCCTTCTACAAAATGTAGTGATCAGTGTCCACAGCAGGTGGCACAGGCTGTCTAGTTCTCCCTCCCTATTCTCCTTTGGCTCCCATCAGGGGAATTGTACATGTATTCCCAAACCTGGTAATGCCAGCTATATATGTTGTTGTAATTATGCAGTTCAACTCAATATTAGGTAAATTGATCAAATATAAGCATAAAAAAGGAAAGCTATTGTTTTTATTAAAATTGTTACATATTTTAGAAAGACCTGGATAAGTCCTCAAAAATTCAATTGTTTGGGTGAGACAACTGTAAAAGAGGAGAAAAATCATAAAATCCAGAAAGCATTCTGTACTCAAATTGCTTTATGAATGTCTAAGTTCTCATTCTCTTTTAAAGAAACAAAAATAATAAATTATGGATAGTGAATTATGAGTATAGTTTATTTGGAAAAGACTATATAGAAATCCAGTTAGCATACTCTTTTTTTTTAAAGGCTTACATTTTTAAAAAATAGTGAATGAATGTAAATTTATATAAATTAAGTCAAAACAAAATGTTTAGTTATGTATGTATCTCTTCTGTATGATTCCCTTCTTTTTCTAACTTGTAGAATAGCTAACAAACTGCTGCTAAAACACATCAAATGAGAGGGTTTCTGTTTAAACATTTTAGAGACCTTACCCATCAGGTTGTTATAAAGTTCAATTGAATTAAATATATGAAATACTCTATAAACTATAAAAGACTGTCAGGTGATCCCACCTCATATTAGGAGGTGTAGCAGATGAGTGATCACAGATTATTGATAATGATCTGTTGGCATGTCTTATTAGGACTCAGAATTTTATTGCTGAAAATGACTTTGGATATCTATATCTCATTGGCCCCCTCAATTTATAAATTAGAAAGCTGAAGTCCTCAAGGTTAAATGAACTGATTATGTACAAGAAATCCAAATAGCTCTTTGTTCACTTTTCTTCCATTTACATCATGCTGACTTGAGAGAGAAAAACATTTTATTTTTAAGTGAAAAAAAATCTCTCAAAAGTCCTAATTAAGTTCCAGTTAATTAAGGTTTGAAAATAATGAATTTGCATCCTTGGAGCTGATTCCTTGGTTCCCCAGAAAACTAGTCTGTGAACCCCCAGCTTTAGAAGGAGGAGTACATCAGTTTCCTACAGCAAAGGATACTGGTGAAAGAATTTATAAATCAGCTAAATGGCCATATTCAGAAGTCCTTGCATTTGTTTTCCTCCTCTGCCTGCTTTTGCCCTCTCAAAAATCCATTTTTCCTTGGTGCTTTTTGAGTAGCCTGCTCTTTGGATTTTTGTCTGATGCTTTGTTTGCCTCGGTCCACCGTGTCCATGCTTTTGGTGACAGTCTTTTAAAAAATATATCCTTTACACTAGCCTCAGTGAGAGATCAGTGTGTGAGAGGAGATACCATCTATCTTACACATTATGCCCTTGGATTCAGAATAAGTCTGCTAAACCAGAAATTTCACCTTTCCAAGAGGTCGGTTTACCATGATGACCTTCAGAATGAATGAGGGTAGAGTATGCGGCACTAGTACGGTGCCTGTTTGAGTCAGGGACCCACTGGTTCAGAAGCTATAACCTCGGAAATGCAGAGCAGCTTGACCACTGGGTGCTTGCAGTCAGCAACTTAAACCAGAGCTGCCTAGCCTGTGTCTGAGATAGTGAGCCTCAGCCCTCAGGGCCACCTGGACTGGCTCCAGTCTCCTGTGGGATACTTATTAGCAGTCTCATCTGCTTACTGTCTTACCATAGGATACTGTCATATATTAGCAAGCTGTCTCAACCATGATGGGGAACAGATTGGGAAGCACTGCCTTCCAGCAGGTAGGATTACCTGCTTCAAATGTCTTTTTTTCCTTCTGCTCAAACCTAGTTCGAAAGAGTTTCTACATCCATGAAATGACTTAAAGAGCAAATGCAGCTGCCAGATGCATTCTTGTGTTTTTTGGGTGGGTTGAATAATGTTCTTCCCAGGTGTTTTCTTTCCTCTTCATGTATTTGCTCCAAGTTAAGTCTAGGATTTAACTTAGATGTTTGTTTTATTTTATTTATTACATATATCTTACCTATTTCTTAAAAGGAGGCTCCCATAAACAGGGACCTAGACTTTTTTGTGTTTGTAGTAAAAGTAATAATATAGTTTATAATCATATCCAAATCTTGATCTTTGGGAGAGGAGTAACTGTGAGAAGCCCTCACTACTTGCCTGGTTCCTGTTCAGTGATTCAGGCCCAACTAACAGACTTTGGCATTCCCTTGGCATTTCTATTTATTGCCTGCTCTCAGGCATCTTCCAATCTAGGGGGTGGGGAGATGAGACTGCCAGATTATGATGTGAAGACAAGGCCTCAGGCTCCTTAGCTATTGCCTTCAGAAAGAATCCTATGGGAGGGTAGCAGGTGCCAAAAGAACTCCAGATGTCTTAGAAGTATTGATTGAATTCAGGAAGTTATACCCACTTCTTGCTGAAACTCTAGTCTCTTTCTCTTCAGTCAGGTGGCAATACTTAGAGGCCTCTCTGTGTGAAGACTTGTGTGAAACAAGCATGAGGCCTACAGGAAGCTGTGCCCCATCAGGGGTCCCTCTGCAGGTAGCATGGGGGGGGTGGGGGGGGGATGTGAGCAGCTTCGCCTGAGTCACTGACTTTTTGAATTTGGAGGAAGTTGAAGTTGTGGCGAAGAAAACCTGTTATTTTCATCTTCTTAGGCAAATTCCTGTGAACTCAAGGAGCCTTTGCTAAATTCACAGCTGCATCTTATGAATCCTACTAGGTACACTTTTGAAGCCCAAACTGCAGGAGGTTTATTTGAATGAACTTGATTATAAAGATAACCTTGTTAATGCAAATTGTTTTAAAATACCCTGGGACTCAAGCTGCTGTGGCATGCTGTTATATATAACCTTGACCTGGCCCAGCCTTTAAGTCAGAGATTGGCAGACCTTTTTTTTTTTTTGTCAAGAGCCAAATAGTAAATAGTTTAGGCTTTATGGGCCATAGGGTGTCTGTCTCTGCTACTCAACTCTGCTGTTGTAGTATGAAAGCAACCAACATTGTTTTACATGGATGAATGTGGCTATGTTCCAGTAAAACCTTAAGGACAATGAGATTTGAATTTAATATAATTTTCACATGTCACAAAATTCTTCCTTTGATTATTTTTCAACTATTTA